CTTTTTTCCCCGGTCATTGAAACACAATTACCTGGAGTAAAACTTTTTCCTTCTTTTTTTGAATGTAAAGTGTAAAATATTTTTTGAGAATATCCCTTGGGGTGGATTTTATTTAGAGCATCTAATTTTTTTTTTCTCCTGCGTAATCCAATGCAGAAAACAACCCAGTTTTTTTTTTTTTTTTTTTTTTTGGGGGGGGGGAGGAAGAAAAAACAAGAAAAAAATGAAAAAGAAAAAATAACGGGGTAAAATTAATTCCTCCAGCTCCGCTTGATTCGCCAGGCATGCGAGGCCGAACAGGTGACTGAGCATTCGTTTGCATGGATACTTTGAACAGCGAATTGAATGTTTGTACGAACGGGGGATGTTTCACTCAGCGTATCCAGGTGCTTAGCCAAAACCGCGCATCCATACGTTTGATTCCCTTAGGAGTTAGGCGGTTTAAGTGAGCAGGCTGGAGCACACTTCGCGAGGAAGCTGAGAGAGAGGGTTCAGAGAAAGATAGATGCATCTGTAAAAATCTACAATCTCCGTAGTGGAAGGTAGCTTCAAGCACGCACATTTGAAACCGTAGTTGCCGGGTGTATAAACGACGTGAGTCCTCCACCCTCCCTGGCTACTACGCAAACCAACCCTAGAAACATACGAGGATAAAAGTTCGACAATTTGAAGACAGTTCATTCCTTTATGTAAATAAAAATAAGAGGCCGATTCCAACACAAAGATATTGGAGAGCGTTCACAGAATGAGCTCTGAAGAAAGGTGGGATAAGGAAATTTAAAAGATTGTAGAATCATTTTATCTCAAATTATATCAAACATTTTGAGACTTGAAACTGAAAGAATGGCAAGATGATTTTTTAAGGTTCGGAAATTTTGTTGAAGGAACTTATCCAATGAATCCTCACTACCCTCAGTTCAGGCAATCAAACTTGCTTGACAGGTGACCTGGTTGCGTCAGGTCCAACTGGAGGAGGTTATACCTGGAATTACCCTGTATTATGTCATCTGCAGTTGAAGAACAAATATTTTGGTCGTCTCAATCCTTTCAGTATAAAGAAAAAAACAGTGCCGATTTCTGATTAATTACAAGATTTAGGCTTCCATGGAGAATTTACGATCCAATTTAAATAATTAAAATGGCGACAAAGTTGTTGGCCTACAGGCATACGGCCTAAACTTTTTTTTTAAGAAAATTATTGTAGGGGTTTAATCTAATGGTAATATCCCGTTAGCTTTTTCCGAGGGTTTGCAAAAGTAGTCTTAATTATGATAATATGTAAAATGATTTTATGAACCTCCCTTCATATCAATTTAATCAGTAAGAGCCTCTCTTCAGAAAGGAACTATATTTGAGAGTCGTGCGACTCTAAACATCTCTTCTCCTCAGTGAAGCCCTGTGCAGTGCGTTGAGATTTGGAGATGTTTAAGGAGTTCTTCAATACGGTACTTAAATAGGGACAATTTTATGAGCTTTGTGTGAAATTCAACAATATATTTTTAGAGATAGATTTTTGAAAGGAACCACAATGATTTGTCGCAGCAAAAATGTAAAACATGAAAGAGAAAAATATTGTGTGTTTTATAATTTTTTAGTTTGATCCACAACTACCTCAAAATTTGTCATAATCATAACATTTTTTTCTTGCAGTCTATAGAGACAAGTTTATAATTTTTGGGGGTTCAATTTTAATAAAGTCTCGAATAAAACTCATAATTAGTCATACCCATATCGAAGTTGAATTTCTATTATTTTCTAAACTTGACAACTCCAGAGGTTTCATTTGATGCTTACAAGTTCACATTCCTCGTTCATACCTCGAGGTATTGTGGATATGTTCTGAAAAAAAAAAATTTAAAGAAAAAAAGTTGGTTCTCCCACGCCAAGCAAAGCCTGAGGGTTAAAAAGAGAAGCAGTACATGGGAAGAAAATGAAATAAAAATAGAAATCTAAAAATAGAGGAAGAGTTTGAACCGTGTGATAAAAAGGCACAATATTGGTGCAATTCAATCTGAAAGTTTACTCAACTCTCAGACACGGCCATCTTTCTCGGTTGTAGGTGGTTTTTATGCAGCTACTTAACTTTCATATACTCTTAACTTCCATTGCTCTATGGAGAGTCACAGACGATACACCTATGAGCACATTGTATGAGAAAATCAGGGCAAGGAATTCAAAATTTCTGTCTCAATTGCCATCAATTGAGTGTGCTGTTTCGGTAAGTACCAACCAAGTTCGGTTTCAAAAATTCGTTTGGTTGCAAAGTAAAATTATTCAAAGGACTAGCTAAAAAATTTATCCCGCCTATCTCTCCTGAAAAAGAAAAAAAAAATTAAAGCTTCCTCAATATTAAATTAAAGGATTTCAGTTATTTCAAAAACGGCGATCCTTTAACGATCGATTAGGGCAAACTAACTAACCATATTATTTACATAACAAAAGCTAAAACTGTGGCAGCCCTGCCAACCAAACTCTTTATTATTGGTGAACAACATGCATAAAAAAACACCTCCAAACCACTCAAAATCCATTGGTCCATCCGTTCTTTGTTCCTTAGTCTTAGAAATTCTAAAGTTGGTAGTTTTATTGTTTTTTTCCGAGTAAAAATTTGATCTAGGTTTTTGAAAACAATCCTTTTCCTCTTTTTTTAATAACCAAAAATTTCCATTTCATGAACGATAGAATTGTCAAATATTAAACAATTTTATTTGCTCATTTTTTGCACTAGAGAAAAACTTCTCATCGCAAAGCAAAGGACATGAAAAGTTTTGAAATCCTTGAAAAATAATTTGATAGCTAAGGGAGCCATTTTTCCCTTATCAAGCACTTCATCTTGTAGGTACGCTAAGGCACATGAAGAAGGTGAATTATCTTAACAATTGCCGTTGTTTTTCAGTGCTCTCCTAACGCAACAGAACGATGTTGTAACGGTCCAAAAAAGTAACATAATCTCTTTATGTTTGAATGAAGGGTTGAGACATTATTCTCTCAAAACTTGCACGGCCCGCCCATGAAAATTCGCAAAACTCCATAAAAATTTTACCCTAGGGTGTTATAAAGCTTCGAGAAAGCTCCGACTTAGCCTCTGCAGATTCAGCTATTTTTGTGCACTGTTCAGACGTTATGGTGCGTCTCAGAAATTCTGCATTGAAATTTATGCCCTGGATCAAATTAACATGCTCTGGAGAGCATGATTCTTCAAGCTCAAAATATCGCGATAAAGGCAATATCCACACCAAGAGCTCAAACGAGATAGGATGGAGGGAGTGAGAAAAAGGATTAAAGTGCCTGCGAAGAAAAAACCCCGGCCCAGTAAGCCTGCCAAGGCTCTATTATCTCCAGCAACCAGATTTATAAAAGTTTTCTGACCATAAAGATCAATTACGCTCCGTATTTTAAACTGAAAAATTGTGTTTTTATATTTTTCCTCTCTCGATTTCGTTCATATTTTCTGTTCTGTAGTTTCTTTGAAATGGTACTCAATAGACTCTTTTGTATTTTTTTCGGCGTCGGTTAACGCTGAAGGCTTAAGTTTAAGGATTGAAAATTGGACGTAGTTTTGCTAAATGGAACTAGAGACGTGTGGGAAATAAGGGGTGTGCTCTAGAGAACTGCAAAAGAAACAATATAAAAGTGGACGTGTTTCTTTTTGTGGAAATGGGAAGGTGGGATTTTATATAAATCAAGCGGAACTGAGAGCCAAAATATGCGGGACTCATGAGCCATGGGCATGCGACAAGAGCGTTGTGAGCAGGGCTCATGAGTTTAAAAGCCACGATCCCGATCTCCTCGTCCCGGTTGTCGCCGCTGACGTCACTGGCGCTTTTTGATTCCCATTCATTCTTACGGCCTTCAAGTAACGAGCACACTCCTTCTCTTCCACCCATCTCTAGTTCCTTTGAGCAGAAGTCTATCCAATTCATAGAAACCTTACCACCTTCCACCAGATTATTTAGATGTTTATTTCCTTGAAAATATTCGCCGAGCTGTCATTGAAAAATCTGAAGTTTATGAAATCATAGATATATTTTTCCGTCTTCTCTTTTTTGGGGGGTTAAAAAATTGGGTGCAAAACGTCACCGGAGATTTTGAATTTATTAACTTGCTCCACTACATATAAGCATATCAAATAAAACATAATCAATTAAATTATAATGTAGTAAAATATAATAACGCAAAATAATAAAATAAAGTAGCCACAGAGAAGTTGAAAGCTCCAGCATGCCTCCTACCGCTTCATCGCAAAAATGCCTCGCTTTCCCTGACGTCATGAACTTTCTAATGTAAGACTACACTATGAGCCAAAGTACTCAACGGTCCCTGAATGAGCGTGCATTAGGAATTAATTAATTAAAAACTCTGCTAAATAGCCGAGGATGTAAAAGCGCTTTCTTGGTGAACTTAATTACGCGCTACAAATTTAACTCCTGAAGTCCCGTCTCAAAACTGCATATTGCGAGTAAGTTCCAACGAAAAGTCATTATCTTCTCTACAGATTTACCTGTAGATCTACTACTTAATTTATATTAATGAAAGCATCAACCATAAAGCGGCTTGGAATGGAGATGACTCACGCTTCAATGATGAAAACAAGTGTTTTCGCACATATTGCGATTGTTAAGTAAATAATTATTATTTGAAGTTTCTCTCCCCCCTCCCCACCCCCCTCCCCACCCCCTCCCTCTTGTTTCATAAGTGTTTCTGTATCTGCATTTATGTAAATGTCTGGATGTATTTAATATTTTCTGGTCTAACTCCATGTACACGGTGCGAATTGCATGATTTATTTTCTATTATTGCAAACATTTTTCATTTGCCATTTTATTTCTACAGGTATTATTGTTTTGCCTTTGTTAGTGCAAAAGGAGTCTGAGTACTTTAGAAGTATGAAAAAAGAACCTACTTGCTTAGGGGTTAGATTGAATTTGTCAGAATGTCAGAAACTCGCATTGGAGCATCTGAAAAATTAGGTATTTGAATTTGAATCGAAGAGAGCTTACCTTAAGGTGCATTTTATACGTTGGCCTTTTGAGCAGGGTCCAACAAGGGGGAGGGGACGTTGGCCCGAGCCCCGGGGTTTTGGCTTCAGTAGTGTCAACGAGGGTCTCAAGTTTGCCTCAATGCGAGGAGAATTCTGAAAATCAAAACACATTATCATAGAGCCATTCCTCATTAAATCACAAACATTATAAAATCGAACTTTGTACCAACATTAAGTATCTCCAGCTGAATCGATTAAAGTGACAGTCAGTGGCGATTATTGAAATTTGGCAACACTGTTTTTCCTCAATTTTGATATATGAAAAACAATCGATTCTTAGTGAGGCACCTTGCCAACCTAAAATCGATATTTTTAATGAATTGAAGTGGAAAAAAAACTGTTTTGCCAACTTGCAAAATTACCACTGGTGTCAGCAGGGCACCATTCCAGCCAAGTCCTGCAGGATGGATTCGTTTAAAGGGGGCAAAACGATTAAGCAATAGGGACCAGTATACACAAAGTTACCTTGTTCAACTTTCACTGCAAAAGCGCAAAAGCCATTTAAAAAAACAAAAAATCCAGCAAACTGCTTCAAACTTTCCTAACGTATGGTTTTAATTAAATTAAAACTCTTTTCCTCGCAAATCAAAGAAATGAGAAGGCAACGAATAGTTGAGAACGATTTAAATCATACAAGAGATTGTTTCCATATTTAGGTCAAGTTACGTCTCTTTCCGGGGGAACCGGGGGGGTCGTGTTACAAACAACACACTATACACACCACTAGACAAGGCACGAATTTCAGCAATCTGATATATGTCAACCAAAATTACACGTAAAACACGATGCGCACAACGAAAATTACCGATATCAACTCCTTACGAAGATATTTAATGATTCTTGATGCGTAAATTCAAACCACCCGCTCATGAAAACTCAATGCTCTACGTGATTCACATTGCGCGCTAAACGTTATCATGACAGTATATCTGCGATTTAAAAATCTGGCAATCTCAATCTTGACGCTTTGGCTATTGCAAATTGCTAATAGTTTGAACAACACATGGGGGGAAATGAACATTGCTCGATTGAGAAGCTTGCTGAAACTGTTGTATTGCGCGATTTGTCTCACGTACAGCTTTGAGTTTCTTGTGAGCGGGCAGTTCAAATTCCTCGTAACCAATGTGAAATAAAAACGTTAATATCTTCGTTAGGAGTTGGTTTCAGTAATTTTCGTTGTGTGAATCGTGTTTTACGTGAAATTTTCGTTGAGAAACATGTATCAGATTGCTTAAATTCGTACCTTGTCTAGTGGTCCGTTGCGACCAAAAATTGGATTTCAGATTTTTGATGTGCCCATCGTGATTTTCGTATGATTCAACCTGGAGTGAGTCCACTCACTCAACCTGTAGAGTGTAGACCCATTGTCCCTTTGCCCCTTCAAATGAGATCCCCGATGGACGGAGGCTAAGTCTGTAGCCTGGATTTATGACACTGTTAAAAATACACTGTTACAGCCGTTTAACCAGCAACTGTTGCAGAGGTTGCGTCTTACGACGGCTTAGATAGAACGCTCAGCACGTCCGCGAGATTCCCACCAAGGGAGTGGATTTTAGACGTAAGCGAGGACTAACGTAGATCAAGAGCGCGGAACATTGAAAAAGGTTCACTTGTGTGAGCGTTATGAAATGTTCATTGCCCACTGAGAGAAAACCACACCGAACTTGACAAAACTTGGGCGCAATTAGAAATAATAAGTCTATATACATTATTGCACACTGGGGGAAAAAAACACATTTGATCTAGAGTCCAGACTCTCAAAAACATCGACAAGAAAAAATACTCTTGCTTCAATCAGATTTAAGCTTAAATCAATAACCAAGCCTCTTAATTTGAGCGGATTTCCTTTTGATTTAAGCTTAAATCTGATTGAATCAAGAGTGTTTTTTCTTGTCAATGTTTTCAAGAGTCTGGACTCTAGATCCAATGTGTTTTTTTTTTTCCAGTGCATGCTTTGAGAAAATGGTCTTTTCTCCATCATTCAGGACTTGGATCACACACTGCCGTGCAACGCAAAAACGCTGTTTACATTTTTTGGAACAATGTATCATAGCAGAAAAACTTGTGTACCTTGGGGCAATGTTTTTACAGAATTCTGTCGCAAATACTATGAAGAACTTAATTTGAAAATTTTAGGTGCAATGGTAAACAGTTTTTATGTTATAAAGTGAGAAGTTCTAGAACGAGGGAAAATCTTGATGGATTTACGGCGTTCTTGCTTAAAACGGCAGCATAGTGGATTGGAGGCGTATCGAATTTGGAAGAGTTCGTGCACAGGGAAATGCATGAGCTCTTAAAAAAACCACTGAAGATTCTTTTAAAAAATAGAGCCAAAGCTGCCCTTTTGGGCCCTAAAAGATTTGTGACCTAACATCCAAAATTACCGTCACGACTCTCCCCATACAGTTACTTTAATTTCTAGGAATCCGTTCTTTGACCATTAAATGTTTATTTAATTTTGTGGCGGATGCACCTTAGCCACCGATTTCCCTTCTTTACCACCTCGCACCTTGATAGCTCAATTCAAGGTGTCAAGGATTCGGCGAGTCTCAAACGCGGGACGGGCGTTTGTCAAACATGACTGATCAAATCCCCGCTCATTCGAGGCGTGTCGCCGCTGTAATTAATGTTTTTCCGTGTGCGGTCCCGCGGGACCTCAATCCGTCGATGAAAAATGATGTTGACGAATTGCGTCACAGCTTCCAGGCTGCCGCACCAGGGAAAAGAACCGTAACTCCAACTTAAAGCGAGACTCGAAGCGTATAATCGCACGTGTTAACTGCGGGTCACTCCGAATGGAGTTACTGCTCTATCGCGGAGGGGTGCGATGCGCAGTATGCAAATCCCCGGGTGGATTAGCCCCGAATCAGTCAAGTTCTCGAATCTCAACTTCCTGCATCATTTTAAGACGCGGCCGTCTAGGCTCTGTGAGTGGTTCTTTGCACCGGAGTCCATACATTTTCGATGCACTGGAAAAAAAACACATTGAATCTAGAGTCCAGACTCTTATGAACATCGACAAGAAAAAATTCTCTTGATTCAATCAGATTTAAGCTTAAATCAATAACCAAGCCTCTTAATTTGAGCGGATTTCCTTTTGATATAAGCTTAAATCTGATTGAATCAAGAGTCCTTTTTCTTTTCAATGTTTTCAAGAGTCTAGACTCTAGATCCAATGTGGTATTTTTTTCCAGCGTGGTTTCCGAGGATTAAAACCCTGGTAAGAAGTCAGTGGACCCATGCAAATGCAAAATTCAGATTGTTTTCTTTGTGTTCTGTTTAAGAAAATTAACACGGAGAGTCACAAGAGAAAACGGACCGCGTTCAGCAGGAAGGAACCAAGCCACATCAGCGATTTCCAAATTTAAATGGGCAATTAATTTTTTTCATGAAAACGGATGTGCGGATTTTTGTGCAAACGGTGAATTTTCTACATACCACGAAGCAACCTCCTTAAAATTTTCAAATGAATCCACACAAATATTCTCTTGTAAAACGTTAAATTACCCAGTTAAATTTGGGAATAGCTGATGTGGCTTGGTTCCTTTCTACTCAACGTGGTCCATGCAACCCAGTTCCGAGACTACAAGAAAGAAATGCCCGCCCACAGTTGAGCCGGTAGGTGTAACAAACACAAGCGCCTTCAACTACAGATGCAGACAACTATTCATACTCCGAATACAACTATTCGTACTCGATGGACGTCCGTGTTGCATACACTTAAATTGAAGGAGTTCGAATTTTTCTGGTCGTCGCGTGTAGTCCAGAAATTATACGACAAATTTGACCAGTTAGGGGAAAAAATTAATAACAAGCTAATTTTTGGCAGAGCGAGTCCTTATGACCCCCTGAGTCCTCCAAGAGAATTACGGTGAATTTTCTACATATCACGAAGCAAATTCCTCAAAATTTTCAAATGAATCCACACAAACATTTCCTCGTAAAACATTAAATTACCTAGTTAAATTCAGCGATAGCTGATAGGGCTAGGTTCCTCTCTAACGCGGCCCAAAAAAGGTAACTCCTGCAGGCTAATTATTGAACCTAATAGACATAGCGATTGCCAAGGGAGACAATAAGAAAATGGGGTGATTATATTTGTGGAGGTGGGTGGTTGCATTGGATATCATAGGTAAGTAATAGACTAACACGCATTATGTGAAAGCCACCCGTTTCAACCAATAGGATCACTCCACTATCGCTTTGTCGTTTTCAATGGTCAGCACGTTGATGCCGTTAGGCCAATTCTGATTAAACCTGTTCCATCAGCGACAAGAAAACCACAAAGAATAATCGATTGAGCTGATACGACTTATCGAGCGTAACGGAAGTGATTATGCCTAAGCGCAAAATTGAAGGCGCATTGCATAGCGAACTGAGATTATATTTGTCAATCAGCACCGAGAAACTGGATTGATTCACAAACCCGAAACTTTTCATGGGCAGCTTGTTTCCGTTCGTCTGATTCTTTAATCATAATCCCTGTACATTACTCCCGAACAACAAATTTTTTAAAAAAAAAATATACTTATTCTCAAACAACGTAAAAAATAAAATAGAGGAATTTCAAGCCTCCCTGTTTTGAACCATCTATATTACAGACTCTTGTGCCACAAAGAGACAAAATGACAGCATAAAAAGCAAGTTAGCCGGAGGTTGCCGCTGAAATTATTCGTCGCCGAGAATGCAGTACACATCAAAGGCCGCCGCAGATGAGGACACGGTCCGCAAAGTTGTCAGACTCTTGGATGAAAGGTGCGCATTTTATTCCAAGCTTCGGAATAGGAGAAAAAACCTCACAAGTGTGCATTCTTTTTTGGTAGATTTAAGGCGCGACGCTTCGAATTCTTGGTGGATTTTTTGGAAGGTGGCCCTATTAAAAAGTCTCACCATTTATTGTCAAAGTTCATCCAACGGCGCCAAAGTTTCAAGGTACCAACGGCTAAATTCGACGTATTTCTGCAAACCGGAACTATGTGCATTTTG